AAAATTATAAAAATAACTAGAAACACAACAGTAATTCAAGGATAATGACTTTATATCCATGTTACTTGAATTATTTATACTTTTTGTTGGAGATCGATGTTATTTCAAATATATTTATGTTGTTTAAATTATTATTTTAGCAGAATGTGTTGTTATCTTCATATATCATGTGTTGAAGTATCCGTACATATTTATAATATTTGTTTTTGGAAATAATTATATAAATATGATCAAAATAAAGATGATTTACAAAAATATGATTAGCGACTAGAGCTGTAATGAAATCATAGTAATTCATGTTCAAGTTTTGAGCTTAAGTTACCACAACACCACATTGTAGTAATGAATAGTCATATTTATGTAAATATGTTTTATTTTAGTAATATTCTTGTAAAAAAACCCTTATTTTTGTTCAAAATTGAATAGAACACAAATAGGTTATCATTGGTATTTTATAATTAATTTCATTAATAATTTTAGTATATCACTATTAACACTAATTTTCTATATTTCATTTGATATATAATAATTTGATATTAAATCATGATAATTTACCGATATCGTAGCTTACCGTACCGAAATTTTGGTATACCGAAACAAGGTATACCGAAATTTAGGTATGGTAACGGTATGTATTTTTGCATACCGAAAGTTTACGGTATGGTAAAGGTATGAGATAAAATCTTCGGTATGCCGTACCAAACCACCCCTAAGTTCTGGATAAGCTACTAAATTGATTGATTCTGCTAAATTATAAAAAAAATAGAATATATTTTATTAATAAAAAATGGTGCTTTACAATAACTTCAGCCAGCAAAGTAATTACGTAGTATAATTTTACTTATTTTGATTATTACACAATTCAGTGCGCGAAATCAAAAGTTATGTGTTTGTTGAAAACCCAGGTCACCACAAACCTTGGTTATGTTCATCTATCTACTTGTAAAGTGGGCATTTAAACCAATTGAGTCTTTCACCTTTGTACGTCTCCATATGACGCATTGCAAGCACACCATGATCAGTTACGTTCTTCACGTCCCTCCATTTCATCGGAAGTCTCGAAGGTTTTTTCTTAGCAATTGCTTCAACTCTCTTATGCCTTCCTATCTCTGTCATATACTTAACAAACAATGATACCTGCAATTCATGATTCTCCAGATCATCATTACCACATTATCATAGCATTATAAACTGGTATCTACTACTAATTTCAATAAGAATTCAAGCTACCGTGCAGTGCATATGACAACTTCATCTTAGTGCTCACATTTTTACAAAAACTTTACTTACTAAAGTTTTTGGCATCCCTTCATACTTATCCTTCGCATGCACTCTAGCAGACGAGTTATCCAATATGTCTACTCTGTTGTTCTTCACGTTCAAACAGATTACATAGCAATGCCTAAATTGCATTATTGGGAAGAAGAACTGAACAAGTAGCAGACACATTATACTACATTATCGTATACAATCATATGCAGACTTACTAACATACACTCTTACAAGATCAATTTTATCCAAATCAAACTCATCTTTAATTTCACCACATCCAGCCCAAAATCCATCGCAGCAGTAAGTATGTCATACACTTTCTCTTTGCTTTTCACCACCTCATCATCCATTGTGTGCATCTACATTTTATTTAACTAATTATTAATACATCTGTTATCAATTCAGCATTATTACTTACACATTGGATTGCCTTTGCAAAGAATCTGCAAGGTGAGGAGCTACTGCGGGTTCTCTCTCTGTAGTTTAGCACACTTGCCCAAACATCTAAAACATTCTCACTGATCTGGTTTCCTCCCTTCAACGTCATCAGATCCTGTCGCTTCACAGCGTAGTTCTTCTATTTGAGCACGATCTCGTTCCTATCCATTTTCAACAATCACAAATTTACCACCACTAATTATTAAAAATATAATTACTAAATACAAAAAATAATCATACATATCAGCTCCAAGTTGGAGCAATAACCAGGCAGCCATCTCCCGCTCAAACATTTTCGTTGGTTCTCCAGCATCAAGCACTCTTGACACGTATGGTGACTTCAAAAAATGTGCTGCCTTTTGCTTTCTCTTGTTAATTTCAGGTGCAATATCAGCCTACAAATTAAGTAATGTTAAAAAGTATGGAGTATTTGACTACCTACCTATTTAGCACAAATTCACATTACAAGTAACCAACTCTTCTTGCCTTCCATTTTCTGTTACAAACTCCTTATTTCCACCTCCAGCTTGTATCTGCACATTCAAATGATTCTTAATAGATTTTGAAGCATATTCACTCACATCGTTTATTTGTATATGTATTAGTGCCAAAGTATTTGTTTTTACTAACCTCAATCACAACATCCCCCATTTTCCGTTCTCCAATTTTCTGTTTTCATTTTCCAGTTTTTCTATCTACAATTTTTTGTTTTCATTTTTTAGTTTTCCATTTTCAATTCTGAAAACGTGTTCATACAATTTTTTCACCCAGCGTTCTGTGGCTGACCAAAAGACCGAAATTACGGTCCCAGTCCGGAACGGAACCTAGTACAAACCAAGTGGGGTACTGGGTCACACATATAGGAAAGTCGGGATCAAAACTGGCCGGTCCCGGTCGATCTCAACAATTAGTTTGATGAATTCTTTTTCCATTTTCCTATTGGTTGAAACCTCAACGACTTTTTTAAAAGTCTTCAATTTACAAAATGATTTCGAAAAATCGAGACTGAACAATTGGGTCATTGAGCGACCCGAACAGGGATCGTCGGATCATTTACGGGAAGAGCCGGGATTACCCAGTTGTCGATCGGACCGAACTAAGACTGTCGGGTCATTTTCCAGACAGGGCGGGGACCATCGGATCGTTGATCAGACAGGGCAGAGACCGCCGGGTGGTTTATTGGACATGAAGGGGATTGCCGAGTCATTGATCGGACCGGACGGGGACCGCCAAGTCATTGACTAGACCGGATCGGACTGAGACTTCCTGGTCATCGGTCAAACTCAACAAGTACCGCCTCATCGTGGATTGAACCGAACAGGGGCCAATGGGTCATCAATCAGACCGGAAATGGACAGCCGGGTCATGGACCAGAGTGAATGGGGCCGCCGAGTCGTGGACCGGACCAGACAGAGACCATCAGTTCGTGGACCGGACCGGACAAAGACTGTCGGGTCGTCTACCGGACCGGGACCGTTGGGTTGTCAACCGGAATGGACCGGGATTGCTCGACTGTCGACCACTGGGTCGTTGACCGGACCAGATAGGGACCGTCGAGTCGTTGACCGGACCAGACTGGAACTGACACCGGAGTCGGACCAGATCCAACACTAGGCGTGAGTATGCAAATTCATTGCAGTGGCACTGCAGCATCCGTGTTTTCCAAATTTGGAAAACTAGTAAAAGTCACTCCTCCATTTTATTAAGGAAAACAAAGACATATCTCATTTTTTGGTTTTGGGAAACCATTTGGTAAACGCAATTTACTGTTTTCCTTCTCTAGTTTTCCAGCAATTTTTTGGGTAAACACGTTTTCTGTTTTCCTTTTCCATATTTCCAGTTTTCTGAAAAATTGGAAAATATTTCTGTTAGTAAACGGATCTTAAGGTTTTAGGCACAAAAATATTCTTGAAATATTATGATGAGGTAATTAGTAAAGCAGACCTATTTCAGTTTTAAACTTCCCAATAAAAATTGCAATTCAAATGGGAATACATGAATATGTTTTCCTTCCTTACATTGCCATATATGGCAGACAATCATGCATTTTAGATTGACTCTTCTTCAGCTAGATGACAAATCATTTAATTACAAAACAAATAGAAAGAGAGAGAGGGAGAGAGAAATAAACAAACCAGAGAAGAGAGAAAAGGGGAATACGTTAGAGTCGGTCCAGCAAGCAAAAATGGAAGTGTGGAGCGGGGTTTCTGGCAAGAAATTTGAGAGAAGAATATGGCATTTATGTAGGTTGCTTTAGATTTTGCATTTAAAACTCGAATTTTGAAATATTAATTAGTTTCCTACGATATATTTGCAATATTTTACTCCGCACTTATTATCTTTACAAATATTACTGATCTGATCACTCACAGACAGCTCTAATAACTATGCGTGAGAAAACCCGGAAGTCCTCAGATTCTCGTTCTCAGAAATTAATGGGTTTTTTGTTTTCTCTTTCTTAAATTTAATAATTATATATATAAGGATATAAACGTGTACCAGAAAGTCGTAATCTCTGCCGAAATATGGACCTGTTTTTATATTTTTCCTTTTAAGTTGCCCATCTTGACTCCATTACATGTGAGATGCTATGTGATCCAGCTAGAGATGATGTATTAGGATTTACCTTTTTATTTTTATTATTAATATTATTACTATTACACTTCGACTTTTTCTTAAGATCTCCATAAATAAATTTCTTTTCCATTTAAGGGTGGTTTTCTTTAATTTGCAGCTCTCTGATTTTATGGATTTTCTTTAAATTCATTTTTTTTAATTTGAAGAAATTAATGGTGATGTTGGGATTTTTTATGTCTATAAATAGTTCTCTATGGGGTGTTTCACTCAAATTCTTGAAGTTGTGTTAAAATTGTAATGGCAATGGTTCAAGAAGAACCAGCCCAGAAGAATAGCAATAGTAATAGTGGTGATGGTGTGGGATGTGATTGTAGGGGTAGATCTTTGAAAAAGCTTAAAGAGAAAAAAGTGCCCCAAAGAGGATTAGGGGTTGCTCAACTAGAGAAGATTAGATTAGAAGAAGAACACAAAAGGGAGAACAATGCTTTCGCAGCTAATAATAGTGTTTTCTCACATAGCATCTCATTGCCCAATATCTCCTCAAGGTCTCACCTTTCTCCTCCTTCCTCAATCCATTCCCCTCCCGATATCCCCTCATGTCTCCCAAAGTTTGATCATGAAGGCGGTGAGAGGGGTAGATCGAGCTTCATAAGTTCGGGCAAGAGTAGTCATTGGCCCACACTGTGGGGTGGTGAATACAACCTTGAAGGAGGAGAGAGTCGAAGGTTGGATAAATTTGGGATTCCTTTTTGGCCTCACATAAATATGTCTATCGAACCACATTCTTCAGTTTTGCGTCTCCCAACTGCATCGGAGAGATCACAACAATATCAGCATCCCGCTTCTTCATCAACGGTTTGCAAACTAAATACCCATATATACTATTATTAATATAATATTAAAATCAATCCCTTCAAATAGAAAATATTAATATAATAATAGTTATTAATTATTGTTGTTATTTTACATCCTATGGTTGATATGTGAATGTTGCAGAAGAACATGTTGTCTATGATTTCATCATCAACGTCATCTTCAAGGAATTTTCAGATAGAGCCCCCTACAAACCAAATTTATCGTGATAACGATTACACGCCTCTATGGCCTAAGGAAGTGAAGGTATTTCCATTGCTTGTGTTTTGATCTGTTTTGGTATTATACTAAATGGATTTTACATGTCCAACAGATGCGAAATCTGATGAGAGTCTAGCACCACTCTGACTTAGTAAAGAGTGCACATTTCTTCACTTTCTTGGGATAGTTGTGTTTCAGCTCAAATGTGTATTTTTTTTGTTCTTTAGTGCAATCATCGATTATTCTTCTATGGAAAAAATGATATGATTTTTCCAATTATTCTCTAGTTTATACAACAATGACCGAATTCATGTGATTTTATTTACTCATTTTGTACATGATATATGTTGAAACCCTTTTTATGGTATTTTTCTATTGATTACTGATGTGATGCAGATGGTTGGTGTCAAGAGACCATATCCTTTCTCTTCAGAATACCCGCCACTTTCATCATTTAATTTCAAATTTCCTCCTGGCTATGCTTCTTCCACATCGTGGGCAAACAATGAACCAACATCTTGTGGCAACGGTAGCGTAGCTAATGTATTAGAATCACACAATTTTCCTATCAGGTATGTTGTCGAATCTCGGGTTCTTGAAAATAATATGTTAGTTCTTTAATGTATTGAGAGTTTCTTCTTCTTTGCTTAGCGAAAGCACTTCAAGCTCACAGTTTGAGTCTAACTCAAGAAGTCTTAATAGAGAACATGGAGGTCTTAATGGAGATTTCCTATTGTTGTCCCCTCCGGCAGCTTCTTCATCGCTAATAGATCATAGATATCAGGACTCATCCACAAATCAACTCCCATATAATCCTGAAGCATCAAATCAGGTGACCTATAGATATAATTGTTACATTTTTTCATTTATTTTGGTTTTTAATATATAACTTTTATTATAAATACAATATATGGAGATGAGAGATCACTCCTTAGTCTCCTTCATCAAAGAGACTTATACTAGCAATTAATCGATGAGGCCATTGGCATTGTCTTAGTTTTTCAGTTAACCCAATTAACTTATTTGTAGATTAGGGATGGATACAGTTAAAGTTTTTTCCCTAATATAGCATTACTTCTTTAAGTACATGATTTCCATTTGGGTTATTTATTAAAAAAAATACACGTCTTCTGTGGTTTAATCATGTCTTTTGAATTTTTTTCAATTAGTTATACATGCTTCTTAAGTTTTGCACTTTCATATGCAATGGCATTGCTCTACTTGATTTTGCTTACCGGAGACACTTGCCTTGTGCCATGTAGATTGCCATATTGTATGCATGCCTATATTCATGTAAGTTCCATCTTTTTCAAAGAACTGCATATCTTCATAAGCATGCACAAATATGTTGCCAATGCACCAATCCACATGGAAAAGAATACGTGTGAATGTTTAGCATGTCATTGCTACAATTCATAAAATTAAAAACAAAAAGATAAAATCCACAATGGTCATTGAAGGTCTTGTATTTTTATATAACAAATAAGACATTTCTATTTTGATATTCGTTGGGTCCTTTTTGACTAATTCTGCTCTCAAATATACTATAGAGAGGCGGTGAAGAGAAAATGAAACGACCAAGAATGAACAGATGCAGTCAACCACACATCTTTAGCTTCTTCCCGCCAGCTATGTTGCAAAGTGATCTTCAAGAAAGCTCAAAAACAAGTTACAAGAGTGGGTCTAATGGAGGAGTTGTAGATCTGAACCTGAAACTATAGATAACAACAACTTGTAAACATCCTTTGATGATTTTACCATGTTACAATATTAAGTGTTTCCATATATGGTTTCTACATTGCTACTTACTCTTCTGCACGGGTTGACGAATGCTTCATTCTTTCTATCTTGTCCTTTATATGGACTAGTTTTCATGCAAGTACAAAGAAGAAATAAATGCACTTATAAGTTCGAACATGAAAGCAACACCAACATCTCGGCCGTGTTAGCATTGTTTTTTATCCTATAGGGGTTAGAGTAACTCATTTTTATGGATTGGATTTGAGTTCTATCGATTATTAAGTTGGTGGAGGAAATAAGTTATAGGTTCCACTATCGTATGGATTCTCCAAAGCATAAAATTTGTCTCCCATGTGTGTAGTTCTAGTAAGGGCATGGGTGGAATTGAAACCTCAAAGGCTTAAACAAGTGAAACAGTTTCTGTTCCATTTTTAGATTGTTATTATTTTTCAAAATTCTAAAAAAATGAAACCATAATCAGCTGGTTTTGGTCATATTTTGAAGGAAGCAGAACCGGTTTGGATAAGTTTTCATAAAAAACCATAAAACATGCCCCAGTTTGGTTACAAAACTGTGCCTAGCAATGTAAAAGAAAGTATGGACATAAGTACAATTGGGAAAACCCAAGTAGACTATTGTAAAAGAAAGAAGTGGAAATTACCTGCATGGTCTAGTTTTGTGCTTTACATATCATTTATGTCTCCCTTATTTATGCTTTTCATTTTTAACTTTTTGGTTTTCAGTTATGTTTCTTTATTTCAATTTTAGACTATTTTTTCAACCTGTCGTAAGGCTTCTATAGTGAGGGTTCCAACTCTCGAAGGGGATTTTGCTGGAGCAGCATCTGTGATGGGGTTTTCAGCGCCGCGACTAGGGTACTCCATGGATTCATGGAACAGTTCAGTCCTCCTCGCATTTGGTCATCATTCGTCCAACATCCAGGGGAACGAGCGCTGCGATATTGCGGCCGCAGAGTACAGAGCGGTGCATACCTCTTCTCTGGCGAGCTAGCGTGACGGCCATTTTGCACATAATCGAATAGAGCAGACATCCTACCATACAAAGTTGGAAACTGTTGGACATCATACCAGGGACACTCTCTTTTCATCACCTGGAGACCAACAACGGCCATGGCCTTTGGATGAACTGTGGAATCCCTCATACCTGCGAAGATGGAAAGCTTGGAGGAAAAAACAACAACCTAGGAGGCAACCATATAAGTCTCTGGCGGATGATGTCCAGGATGATTATCAATTCCAGATTTACAATCCAAAGGCTCACATGAGTTTAAGGTTATAATCAAAAGCAAACCCTTTGAATTTAAAATTGATGGCTCTGTTGTTAGCATTTGGGAAAGTAAACATGAAATCATATCCATTTTGAATCTTGATTTGGTTAGAGTTACTTGGTTAAATGATTCCATTATGAATACTATTTCTGGAAATAGGCTATGCACTAGATTTGAGCTGAATAAATCCCTTATCATATGTATGATGTAAATTTATGTGGAGGTTTTTTGTGAATACAAGAGTTGTGTGAGGTGCTTCCATTAATTGACATGTCTGATTTTGATTGTGTGAGTTATTAGTTTAGAGGTTGAAAATGTTTGATAACTAGTATGAGTTATTTAAGAAGTTGACATTAGTTTATGGTTAATTAGGCATGAAAGCTCTTACAAGTTGTCTTCCTACATAACAAATGAAGATATTTATTAGCAAATTATTTTTGGCCTGATTTATTTAAAGAGGCGTCGAAGAATGAGTATGAACAACACTTCATTCCATCTAAAACACAAAAACAATCCAATGAGGGGGGTTGTTCTATGGCGGAAAGTCTTTTACTCTTCTAACTATAATTTTGAATTTTTTCTAGTTTTTGGTAAGAGTGTAATACTTCATTGTGTTATGCTGCAATTCTCGTGTAACAGTGCCATTCCCCTCACCACACGTGCTGCTATTCTATTTTTTATCTTTTAATAATCCATCTCCCTTCAGTTCGTCACATGTGGTTAAATTGTGAAAAATAACTGGTTTTAGTCGAATATATGGAGAAGCAGATCAATAATTGCTTAAATATATTTATTCTGCTCATGTTATGGTATTGGTTTTATGTTAGAAAACCTATTTTGATTTTAATACTCCCTCTGCGTTATAGTTTTTTTATATCAAGGGCACCACAAGTTGATGTTATCAAGTATTCAAATGATGTGTTCCCGCTCGTGTTGCAGCCAAGCTGGAAATGATTGGTGTGTTGCTCGTGTTACAGCCAAGTTAGAAATGATGGATTCATGTTCTAGTGTTGAGGACAGGATTGGGTATACTATGACTACATATGTTGAGGACAAAGACCTTCTTAAACTAGGAGAGAGTATCATAATAGAACATACAATGTGACACCGCGCCCGTATGTACTTGAATTTGAAATTCGACATGTAATTGAATCTTCCTAGCGAATAAATTCGTGTGACAGAATGGGTACATTTAATTAATACGTGATTAATTAAATTATTTATCGGGTCCAGTATATGAGAATGGGCTACCAAATATTTAGTTGAGTTATCGTAATAATTATAGAAGCCCAATAAAGTGCCAACTAAAGTTGATAAAAATATTTGGACAACCCGAGTGCTATTTTGGCCCAACCTGCCAAAAATAGCGGGAATAATTGGGAGGGACTTCCTACACCCACTTGGGGTGTTCTACACACTAACTAGACTCAAAAATAAGGGAAGGGGGGCCACACAAGTTGGCTTGTGCGGATGATGGGAATAGGAAGTCTCCTTTGAGACAAAACCCATGCCCGTCTCTCACACAATTATTTGTGTTGATTGAGAAGGCATCTTTCCTCCATCTTCCTTGCTCTCTCTCGACCAAACAAAGGAGTAAGAAGCTCAGGGAAAAAGCTCTCACAAACTCCATCGTTGGAGGAAGAATGTGACACCGCACCCGAAGTTCCTTGAAAATTTAATTTAAAATTCAAAGTTTATGTATTGGATTTCTGATTTCAAACAATTGTAAAACGATTGTTGTTTTACGTAAATCATGATCGATTATGATACCGCTCGAACTCGTACATTAGTGTTGGGCTTGCGGATACTCGCTTGGGCCTTATTAATAAATAAAAGATCCTAACATTATCTAAATAGTTATACGTAACGTTTCAAGACAAGTTGAGGTAGGGCGGGCAGTCCATACATTATTCTGGGCTCAACCCGCTAAAATAGCAAGTATTTGAGGACGGCGTCGTAGGCCCGCTTGGGGGCGACCCACACGGATTGTAAGCCCAATAATATGAATGACAAATGTCAAAGTAAGCGATAGGATGATTAAAGGAGAATACAAATGCCTATAACCCCATCTTTGGCATTATTGAGCTAAATAATGGGAGTAGGATTTTCCTTCTAAAATATCCATCAAGTAAATTATTGGGATGAGCCTACACATATTGGAGATCAATAATGTGATTTAATAAGTTGACTTGTTCTAAATAAATTAGGATGAGTACAAAAAGACATCTTTGACAAAAGATAAAACAATAGGACCCATCTTCCATTTTTTTTGGATGTATTGGTAGATATTTTGGACCCCAAATGGATTGGGATCAATTGGGAACCATCCCACATGACTTGAGCACCTGAAAAACAAAGAAATGTGTTAGTTGGGGAGGTATGGGGCGGACATAAAGGGAAAAGGGGGGCTGCACTTGACTTTGAGACAAACCAAGGGCCCTCCCCATGTGTTATTGATCTACATGATGCCAAGCAAGCCCCATATCCATTCTTTTCCATTCCACACAGCCTATCCAACTCTTTTGAGAGGTCTTAGACACTCCCACAAACCCCCCATTCGAACTCCCCAAGATAAGAGAGAAGGGAGAGCCACATATTCAAGAAGAACCAAGGAGAGAGCAAGCTGTCCGCAGGTAGTTTTTCCAGTGCGTAAGGTTACTTGTTTGCTCCATATCTCGAGTTATACACATCCAAATAAGGCGTGCGAGATACCCACAGAAAGCTATCAAGACGAGGAATCCGTGAAGGTCTGGTTTTCATCAATCGGAGTAGTGGAAAGCTTCCAAATCGACCGAGCAAAACACGACCTCGCAGAATACGTTTTTGTATTCAAAGTAAGTTTGAATCCAAAACCTTCCTCCCTATTGCCAAAATCATATAAATGATTGAAGAACTATTATACACTGATTGGAGTGTATAAAATGTTATTATTAAGTGACTTTAATTGTTGGAAAGGTTAGATACTAATCTAGACAAAACCTTGAAAGGTTAGGGAACGATCTCGTCGGGAAACACCCGTTCTAGGGGCTGTTTTTTTGTGTCTTCGGTTAGGAGTTGAACTAGCACTTTGAAGGGGCTGTTTAACACTCAATTCCAAGCAGGGAATCAGTTCTCAATCTTCCTTGGCCGAGGTTTTGGTCATTGGATCGAGAAGGAAAGTTTTAAAGCTCATTTGAGGTGAGGACCGACATCTAGTTGCTTACAACTTGTAGGTTATGCATGAGATTACCTAAATGCTTGAATCATGTTTTTGTGAATAAAAGTATGCTAATATGGTAAATTGACCTTCCAACTCATGTATGAATGTTATGTGTATGTAAATGTATAATTTCATGATGATGCTTAGCACATGGGAGGCTGCCACATATCTATTGATATGGAGGGGCTACCATTTATGATAAATGAGTTGTAGGAATAATCTTAATAGTATTGTGATGCTAGTTAAGGATTGTTCAAAATGTTGATAGAATCAAACTTAAGGTTTGAGTTGTTTGTGATGAACTTGAATAAGATTCAAGTGTCAAGTGTGATTGTATGAAGTAGGAGATCTATGGTGTGATTATATGAAGTAGGAGATCTATGGTGTGATTATATGAAGTAGGAGATCTATGGTGGGATTGTATGAAGTAGGAGATCTATGGGGTGAATACATGAAGTAGGAGATCTATGATATGATTATATGAAGTAGGAGATCTATGATGCGAGTGCATGATGATGTACTCGAGCCTAACTCTAGAAATGAGAAGTTATATTAGGGTTGGACCCTATGTATTGTCGTGACTATTAGTCACGGGGTTTGGGAAATGTTTTATAACAAACACGGGCCTTTGAGCCGACTACTTGACTTTATATAAAGTAAGTATGTATTTTGAAAGGGGTAATCTGGGATTACGGCCTATACTATATTATCACCCTATTTGAGGGTCTTGTGTGTGAAATACTTGTTGTATATCTATTAGATGCCTGCCACACCAGCACTTTATAGCCCTGTAGAGTGCTGACCCCTTCGGGGGCGTCCCACCACCATTTTTCAGGTTGAGGCTAGAGCTTGCTTCCTGTGCTCGTTGCTCGAGAGATCATATAGGAGGGAAGACTTGGTTCGTGCTTCCTCCATTCTGTTTTTAAACCTTTCTAAACATGCTCATGGATATTTTACTATGGAGCCTGCGTGCTCATGAAATGCCTTGTATGGCCCTTTTGTTTTAAACAATGTTTCCGCTGCGTTATGAATTACTTATTATGTTTGTTTATGGATGTATATGTGTGAATGATATTCAAGACGCCTTGTATAATATGAATGTGTTGGACTGCGGTTGACTATTCGTATTGTACGGCGGGTTGTTGACGTGTCCGGATAGGTCCGGGGCGTGACAATTAAGTTGGTATCAGAGCCTTAGTCCATAAACTTCATAATGAAGTCTCAAAATTCTCTTTTCAAAATGTTTTTTTTTTGAAAACCATGAGCAAAAACGTTTTGTACTTAAGAACTTTTGGTGTTTGAGTTGCAAGGTCTCTAATTGTTAAGATGGCGCCCTTAACGATTGGTATGACGGTGACTTGGCCCAAGAGATGTCTTAAGTGCCTATCTGTCAGTTGACATTTGAAACGGGTCTAATGACTCATTCTAATTATTTCTTTCAGCGATGGTGGGTGATGGTGGTATTATGAATAGGGAGAACTCGGAAGGGCTTGCACCGGGTGGAACCGGGCATGCCAACCGAGAAAAGCCCTTAGGACCAAATGTGCATGAAATTCTTGAAGCTCAAATCGTGAGTGGTGGTCATCTTAAGACCAAGGAAAAATCACATTGTTATGGCAAAACTGAACCACTCAAGGCTTCGGGTGACGAAGGAGATGGTTTGAGTGATGAGGACCTTGATAATGCACCCATTGAACAAATGGGCATGGTCATAAATTGGCTTCAACGTGAACGTGCAAGGCTTATACGAAAACGCCAAGCTAGGCAAGCTAAGGACGCACCATTAGGAAGGAAAAGAAAACGGGGAGACCACGACCCCCAAGGACATTCTAGGAGGACAAATGTTGAGGGTGACAAAACCTTCGGGGCGCAGACACTATCACTTGAGTGGAGTCGGGGCTCGGGTGGCCAGAACTCGAGGTCAAAGGGTCCGAGGGTACCTAGGTGCAACAATTGCAAGAAACACCACTCGGGTAAGTGTCAGACCCTCCTAGGTGCTATCATTGCACAGAGGTCGGGCACACGAGAGTGAGCTGCCCACAAATTGTGCAAAACCAAACTTCGGGGTCAAGTGGTGGAACTACAAGAAATGAAAACCAAACCGAGGTTTCTCAAGGGAGCAGGGGACATGGGGGAGCAAGCACGAGCAACGCGCCATCCGTGAACCAAGGAAGGACCCAAGCTAGGGTCTATGCGATGACAGAGGCGGATGCTCAAGCTAACCCGGATTCCGTTGCAGGTATTGCCTCTCGTATACTAGTGTTTTATCCTTAATTAGTCCATAAATTAAGGTTACTAATCGTTGGGATCATTGCACGAAATTTTGGGATCAAACGGAGCGAAATCGGGCGAAAGACGGCTGATTTCCGCCAACGCACACCAGGCTGGACCATACGCACGGCCGTGCGTTGTCCGTGCGTTGGTCCGTGCGTTAGTGGCAGTAGCAACCGGGAAGAAATTGCTATACGCACGGCCGTGCGTTGTCCGTGCGTTGGTCCGTGCGTTGGTGGCAGTAGCAACCGGGAAGAAATTGCTATACGCACGGACGTGCGTTGTCCGTGCGTTGGTCCGTGCGTTGGTGGCAGTAGCTCCGTTTTGAGGTTATAAGACACGCACGCCGTGCGTACCTCCTAGGCACGCCGTGCGTACCTCCTGGACAGCCCAAAGTCGACTTTTTCGCGCCGTATTGCAACGTTAAGACCCGTTCTTGATCCCAAACACGTGTGTGAACATAATAAACCTCTCTAAATGAGTAGGGAGGGTAGGAAAGATGTCTTACATGGTTCATGAATGTAGGGACACTAAAGATTAATGGGAAGGATGCGCGAATCCTTATCGATACCGGGGCGCAACGTTCATTTGTGAATGAAGCGTTCGCCAAGAGTTTGGAAGTGCAATCCGCACCATTGATGCAAACCTTAGTGGTATCAACACCACTAGGGGATGACGTGGAAACAACTCGTTACTATCCATCTTGTGGGGTGGAAGTTAATGGTCAAACCTTGACGTGTGACTTCGTACCGCTGAGCATGATTGAATTCGATGCAATCCTAGGGTTGGATTGGCTAGAAAGGAACCATGCTAGGGTAGATTGCTACACGAAGATTCTTAAACTCGAAGGCAATGATGGGGAGACCCTACGCTTCGAGGGCGATCGAGGGAGATCAAATAGCTGTATCATATCTGCCGTGAGAGCGAGAAGTATGATGAGAAAGGGATGCCACACATATCTAGCATACGTGGTTGACAAAACCAAAGAGGAAACGAACATCGATGATGTGAGGGTGGTTTGTAAGTATCCGGATGTCTTCCCTAAAGACCTACCGGGGCTTCCACCTGATAGGGAGATTGAATTTGTGATCGAGGTCGAGCCTGGTACCAAACCAATCTCCATACCGCCATACCGTATGGCACCCGCTGAACTTAACGAGTTGAAAACCCAATTGCAAGAGCTTTTGGATAATGGTTTCATTAGACCAAGCCACTCCCCGTGGGGAGCACCAGTTCTTTTTGTGAAAAAGAAAGATGGGACACTTCGAATGTGTATTGACTATCGTCAACTGAACAAGGTCACAATCAAGAATAGGTATCCCTTGCCTAGGATTGATGACTTGTTTGATCAACTACGAGTGGCGACTGTGTTTTCAAAGATTGACTTGAGGTCGGGTTACCATCAACCGAAGATTAAGGAAGATGACATACCAAAAAGTGATTTTCGCACAAGGTATGAGCACTTTGAATTCCTTGTTATGTCGTTTGGGCTAACAAACGCCCCAGCAGCATTCATGGACTTGGTGAACCGAGTATTTCATAAATACTTGGACCGATTTGTGATTGTGTTCATATATGACATCTTAATTTACTCAAGGAGTGAAGAAGAACATGAGCGGCACTTGGTCCTGGATCTTGAAACACTACGAGAGAAGCAATTTTGCGCCAAGTTCTCTAAGTGCGAGTTTTGGCTTAAAGAGATTGGCTTTCTTGGGCATGTAGTTTCTGAGTCAGGCATTGCCGTGGATAACAAGAAGATTGGGGCTATCACATAATGGGAAAGGCCTAAGAACGTGAAGGAGATTCGTAGTTTCCTCGGGCTAACGGGTTACTACAGATAATTCGTGGAGAAGTTCTCAGTTTTAGCATCGCCATTGACAAAGCTCACTCGAAAGGGAGCTAAGTTTATATGGGATGACAAATGTGAGAAAGGATTCATCGAACTGAAGAAGAGATTGACCGAGGCACCGGTACTTGCATTACCCAAACAGGGTGTGGGGTACGATGTCTATAGTGACGCGAGCATCCAAGGGTTTGGGTGTGTGTTGATGCAGGAGGGGAGGGTAACTGCTTATGCTTCACGACAGTTGAAGAAGCATGAGGTAAAATTATCCTACCCATGATCTGGAGCTGGGAGCAGTAGTGTTTGCACTGAAGAATTGGAGACATTATCTCTACGGAGAGACATGTCACATATATACTGATCATAAGAGCTTGAAGTACGTGTTTACTCAGAAATAGTTAAACATGAGACAGAGACGGTGAATGGAGTTGATAAAGGACTACCATCTAGTTATTGAGTACCATCCAGGTAAGGCAAACGTTGTAGCAGTTGCCCTTAGTCGGAAGAGTTCGTCTGGGGCATTGTTGACTAGTTTGAGGGCACTGAGGGCCCAATTGGATGTATCTAGCGACGATGCCTTATTAGCACGATTCAAGGTGAGCCGACCTTACTTGATGAGATCAAGAAGGGTCAAGAGACTGACGTAGAACTTATAAAGGCCCGGGAACGCATGCAAGCGGGACCGGTGGAGCATTTCAGGGAAAGAGATGATAGTCTCTTGTTATTTCGTGACCTAGTGTGTGTACCGTCAGATGATGAGCTCTGAAAGTCCATCTTAGAGGAGGCTCATTCATCGGCTTATGCCATGCACCCGGGGGGCACGAAAATGTATCGTGATTTGAAAGAAAGTTACTTGTGGTCTGGTATGAAGAGGGAAATAGCTGAATACATTAGTCGATGCCTTACTTGTCAGCAAGTTAAGGCAGAACATCAGCATCCAGCAGGCTTGTTACAACCACTTTCCATTCCTGAATGGAAGTGGGAACATGTGACTATGGATTTCGTGGTAGGTTTACCACGAACAATTCGGAACTATGATGCAGTTTGGGTTGTTGTGGATAGGCTCACGAAGAGTGCACACTTCTTGCCTATCAACACTACCTACCCACTTGAGAGGTTAGCCAAATTGTATACGGATGAGATCGTGAGGCTGCATGGGGTCCCAGTGACCATCGTATCCGATAGAGACCCACGATTCACATCACGTTTTGGCCGAAATTCCAGGAGTCTATGGGAACGAGGTTGAAGTTCAGTACTGCTTTCCATCCACAGACGGATGGGCAGTCTGAAAGGGTTATACAGATCTTAGAGGATATGCTGAGGGCTTGTGCGTTAGAGTTCCAAGGAAGTTGGGACAACCACTTAGCACTCGTGGAGTTTGCCTATAACAACAGTTATCAGGCAAGTATCGGCATGCCTCCATATGAAGCATCGTATGGGAGGAGGTGTCGTACACCGTTATGCTGAGACGAGGTTGGCATGGCCAAACTCGAGGGTACTGAGTTGGTTGAGATCACCAAGTCAAGGGTGAAGTTGATTCGAGAGAGACTCAAAGCGGCTCAGGATAGACAAAAGAGTTATGCAGATAAGCGTCGAAGAACCTTAGAGTTTAAGGTTGAGGACGAGGTATTCTTGAAAGTTTCTCCTTGGAAAGAAATCATTCGATTCCAAACCCGAGGAAAGCTTAACCCACGGTACATAGGTCCATTCAAAATTATAGAAAGGATTGGGTCCGTTGCATATCGTCTACAGTTGACTCCTGAGTTAGAGAAGATACATAATGTGTTTCATGTATCCATGCTTGAGAAGTATGTGCATGATCCCTCACACGTATTGGAGAAGCCACCTGTAGAGGTACGTGAGGATTTGAACTACGCTGTTCAACCAATCAAGGTCACCGACAGGAAGGTGAAGAAATTGAGAAGCAAGGAAGTCCCAATGGTTAAAGTCCTGTGGAAGAGCGATCGGGTCGAGGAAGAGACATGGGAAACAGAGGCTTTGATGAGGAAGCAGTATGCTTTCCTATTCGAGTAAAGCTGTGAATTTCGGGGACGAAATTCCTGTTAAGGGGGAGTGAACTTGTGACACCGCACCCGAAGTTCCTTGAAAATTTAATTTAAAATTCAAAGTTTATGTATTGGATTTCTGATTTCAAACAATTGTAAAACGATTGTTGTTTTACGTAAATCATGATCGATTATGATACCGCTCGAACTCGTACATTAGTGTTGGGCTTGCGGATACTCGCTTGGGCCTTATTAATAAATAAAAGATCCTAACATTATCTAAATAGTTATACGTAACGTTTCAAGACAAGTTGAGGTAGGGCGGGCAGTCCATACATTATTCTGGGCTCAACCCGCTAAAATAGCAAGTATTTGAGGACGGCGTCGTAGGCCCGCTTGGGGGCGACCCACACGGATTGTAAGCCCAATAATATGAATGACAAATGTCAAAGTAAGCGATAGGATGATTAAAGGAGAATACAAATGCCTATAACCCCATCTTTGGCATTATTGAGCTAAATAATGGGAGTAGGATTTTCCTTCTAAAATATCCATCAAGTAAATTATTGGGATGAGCCTACACATATTGGAGATCAATAATGTGATTTAATAAGTTGACTTGTTCTAAATAAATTAGGATGAGTACAAAAAGACATCTTTGACAAAAGATAAAACAATAGGACCCATCTTCCATTTTTTTTGGATGTATTGGTAGATATTTTGGACCCCAAATGGATTGGGATCAATTGGGAACCATCCCACATGACTTGAGCACCTGCAAAACAAAGAAATGTGTTAGTTGGGGAGGTATGGGGCGGACATAAAGGGAAAAGGGGGGCTGCACTTGACTTTGAGACAAACCAAGGGCCCTCCCCATGTGTTATTGATCTACATGATGCCAAGCAAGCCCCATATCCATTCTTTTCCATTCCACACAGCCTATCCAACTCTTTTGAGAGGTCTTAGACACTCCCACAAACCCCCCATTCGAACTCCCCAAGATAAGAGAGAAGGGAGAGCCACATATTCAAGAAGAACCAAGGAGAGAGCAAGCTGTCCGCAGGTAGTTTTTCCAGTGCGTAAGGTTACTTGTTTGCTCCATATCTCGAGTTATACACATCCAAATAAGGCGTGCGAGATACCCACAGAAAGCTATCAAGACGAGGAATCCGTGAAGGTCTGGTTTTCATCAATCGGAGTAGTGGAAAGCTTCCAAATCGACCGAGCAAAACACGACCTCGCAGAATACGTTTTTGTATTCAAAGTAAGTTTGAATCCAAAACCTTCCTCCCTATTGCCAAAATCATATAAATGATTGAAGAACTATTATACACTGATTGGAGTGTATAAAATGTTATTATTAAGTGACTTTAATTGTTGGAAAGGTTAGATACTAATCTAGACAAAACCTTGAAAGGTTAGGGAACGATCTCGTCGGGAAACACCCGTTCTAGGGGCTGTTTTTTTGTGTCTTCGGTTAGGAGTTGAACTAGCACTTTGAAGGGGCTGTTTAACACTCAATTCCAAGCAGGGAATCAGTTCTCAATCTTCCTTGGCCGAGGTTTTGGTCATTGGATCGAGAAGGAAAGTTTTAAAGCTCATTTGAGGTGAGGACCGACATCTAGTTGCTTACAACTTGTAGGTTATGCATGAGATTACCTAAATGCTTGAATCATGTTTTTGTGAATAAAAGTATGCTAATATGGTAAATTGACCTTCCAACTCATGTATGAATGTTATGTGTATGTAAATGTATAATTTCATGATGATGCTTAGCACATGGGAGGCTGCCACATATCTATTGATATGGAGGGGCTACCATTTATGATAAATGAGTTGTAGGAATAATCTTAATAGTATTGTGATGCTAGTTAAGGATTGTTCAAAATGTTGATAGAATCAAACTTAAGGTTTGAGTTGTTTGTGATGAACTTGAATAAGATTCAAGTGTCAAGTGTGATTGTATGAAGTAGGAGATCTATGGTGTGATTATATGAAGTAGGAGATCTATGGTGTGATTATATGAAGTAGGAGATCTATGGTGGGATTGTATGAAGTAGGAGATCTATGGGGTGAATACATGAAGTAGGAGATCTATGATATGATTATATGAAGTAGGAGATCTATGATGCGAGTGCATGATGATGTACTCGAGCCTAACTCTAGAAATGAGAAGTTATATTAGGGTTGGACCCTATGTATTGTCGTGACTATTAGTCACGGGGTTTGGGAAATGTTTTATAACAAACACGGGCCTTTGAGCCGACTACTTGACTTTATATAAAGTAAGTATGTATTTTGAAAGGGGTAATCTGGGATTACGGCCTATACTATATTATCACCCTATTTGAGGGTCTTGTGTGTGAAATACTTGTTGTATATCTATTAGATGCCTGCCACACCAGCACTTTATAGCCCTGTAGAGTGCTGACCCCTTCGGGGGCGTCCCACCACCATTTTTCAGGTTGAGGCTAGAGCTTGCTTCCTGTGCTCGTTGCTCGAGAGATCATATAGGAGGGAAGACTTGGTTCGTGCTTCCTCCATTCTGTTTTTAAACCTTTCTAAACATGCTCATGGATATTTTACTATGGAGCCTGCGTGCTCATGAAATGCCTTGTATGGCCCTTTTGTTTTAAACAATGTTTCCGCTGCGTTATGAATTACTTATTATGTTTGTTTATGGATGTATATGTGTGAATGATATTCAAGACGCCTTGTATAATATGAATGTGTTGGACTGCGGTTGACTATTCGTATTGTACGGCGGGTTGTTGACGTGTCCGGATAGGTCCGGGGCGTGACAAAGAAAACCCAAGAGGAAAGGAGGTGTGTTGGAGGTAAGAACTCAACAAACACTTTTAACTAGTATTATTGTTGTATGATTTTTTAAGAAATCATATGGTGGATTAAATATGGAGTTCTACACGTTTAAAAGTGTAGAATAATGTTATAAAGTGGTGCTAATTAACTTAGAAGAGTCGTGGAATCGATAGGAGTTGAAACCGCCGGAAACCGCCACTTGAAGGGAGCTGTTCGTAGCTGCAGACCACGAAAGCCGCCCAGCTTTCGTGAAAGCCGCCCGGCTTTTGGCTGCTGCCCAGAAATTGTACTTCTAACCGGTTTAGAACGGGGATTGGTCGGAGGGCTTAACAAAGGCAACTACTTCAGCACTTCATAAGGTGAGGATGGCTGACTATATTGCTTATAACCCTTGAGTTAATTTCATAAGATTACCTAAGTTAATTAAATGTGATTTTCATGGGTTATTAATGATTAATAATGCCTAAATGGAAATATTGATGTTTATGAATAGAAGATGCATAATATACAAATTTATGAGTAAATGGTGTATAGTTATGCATTATAAGTGTGATGATATGATGATTGTATAAACCATGAATTTTTGTGATGAAATATACTTTTACTTCATGTATAGAAATCATGAATGGATAAAAGTGATATTTTTTATATTGAGATTTAATCATATATGGATTGGGGAATCCAAAGGAATGAACCTTATAACTATGAATTAAAGAGCTTGGTGGCTTAAAGATTAATGGATTCGTATTGAATTTACTAGTCGGAAATGTTAGCATGAAAAGTGATAGAACAAATCCCAAGGGCTTGGATTGTGAAAGATGTACCTTAAGTAGTCATATGAAATGTCTTAAGGTAGAAATGGGTAAACGCTAAGTTACCGTAGGAGTAGACCTTAAAGGTTACTCATAGTAGAGGAACTCTAGGCATAGAATTTGCTTAGTGAGCTAGTATCGTGACTAGAGGAAGCCTCTAGCATAACATAATGTGACTGGAGGAAGCCTCCAGCATTAATGTAGGACGACTAGAGGAAGCCTCTAGCGTAGTGTAGGATGACTAGAGGAAGCCTCTAGCATAACGTAATGTGACTGGAGGAAGCCTCCAGCACAACGTATGTAAGGTGATTAGAGGAAGCCTCTAACACCAAATGTAGTGACTAGAGTAAGCCTCTAGCACGAGAAAACATGACTAGAGGAAGCCTCTAGCATGGTGAACTAATATAGATGGGCGTGGCTTGAAGTCACAGGGAAAGGGTTGAATGTTTTCAAAGTAAACATGGGCCTTCGGGTGACTACTTGACTTTATATATAAAGTAAGTATACTTTCAAAGAGGGTAACTACGGGTTATGACCCTATTTGAGGGTCTTGGAAATTGAAACATTGATTATACTTAGTATAGTTGTCATTGTACTTGTCAAATGCTTCCAAGTACTGACCTCCCCATCACGGGGGAGGCCACCTCACAGTTTCAGGTAGGGGCTAAAGCTTGCTATCATCGCCCGTTGCTTCGGGGAGCTCAAGGAGAGAAGACGTGGTTCGTGCTTCCTCCGTATCTGTTTTCAAAACAATATTATTAAATGCTCATGGATATTATTTTCCGAATAATTATTTGGGGCTTGTATGCCCGTGTTTGCCACGTGTGGCTCGATTGCTTGTATTAATGTTTCCGCTGCTTAGTTAAATATTTTACATTATGATTGTTTATGGATGTACTATTGTGAATGGTATTCAAGACGCCTTGTATGGTATGGATGAGTTGGACTGCGGTTGACTATTCGTACTGTACGACGGGTTGTTGACGTGTCCGGGTAGGTCCGAGGCGTGACATACAAATTGTAACACTAGCATTGAGTTGACATTAATGGCAGCAACTAAGAGATACAGACTATCATCACCATGCCTACTTCCACTAGGCACACCTACACTAGTTTTAGTACGAGTGACATATAGTTCATGAAGAAATAATAAATAAAGCCAAATGGGAAAACTGTCAATTTGGCCCTTGTACTTTCATGAAAAGGTCAATTAGGTCCTCGTACTTTTAAAAAGATCAATCATTCAATCAAGTCCCCGAACTTTGTAAAATCGTTCAATTGAGTCAATTTGCAGGCTACTTGCCATCAACAAATGCATGATTTGGGCTTCCACATGTGTGCCACGTCAGCAAAATTATTGCTGATTGGGCTGCCACATGCATGCCACGTCAGCGGATGACCTGCTGACATGGCAAGTAACCTGCAAATAGACTCAATTGAACGTTTTTACAAAGTTCGGGGACTTGATTGATCTTTTTAAAAGTATGAGGACCTAATTGACTTTTTTATGAAAGTACGAGTACCAAATTGACAGTTAGCCAAATAGTATAATAGATAAATGTAGTAAATTGAAACAATAGATTGTATTGATTATTTATTATGATACTCTTATATGTTATTTTTGTTGTACCTCGTGTATTGCATTTTGTTGCATTGTGTTTCTTTTGTTGCATATTGTTATTTTTTGTTTTCATGTGTTTCTTATGATTGTTTATTGTGATTCTGATCGTTTTTTTATTATTTAAATTTCTATTTATTTCTATATCTTTAAAATAGAAATATGTATGTGGGTTTAGTCTAAATCATTTAGATACAAACACCTAAAATGTTAAATTTCGATTTATGAATATGAAATGCAACATGAAACATAAAGAAACAATAAAAAACAAAAATTCAAGAATTATCAACAAAAAGAAACCCAAAGAAATCACAAGAAAAAAAAAACTCACAATAAAGTGATTATACTAATAATTAAAATTTTAAGTACTTTAAGACAAATCACATCAGAATTATTTTTTTGAATATGTAATCATTTTTGAAGTTCATCATTTTAATTTTTCATATTTTAATTCCTAGATTTTATTTTAATTTTACACACTTTTAAGTTACATTAATTTTCTGATTTTTTGTAATTTTATTTTATATATTTTACTAGAAAAAATTTATGTAATGTATTTTTTATTATATAAACTTTAATCTGATTTTTTATTTTTTAAATATTTTATATTTTTATACAAAATTATATTAAGAATAAAAAAATGGTATGTTGAAGTATTTGTTTTAGAACGTGCTCATATTTCGACTACTTTTAATTTGTACACTTTTATTTTCAAGTTATGATTCTGATTTTGTATACATTTTATAATTTTTTCAGATTTTATTTTAAATTTAAAATCTTTTTATTTTATTTTTTAAAACATTGTTTACAAGTTTTTAATTTTTAATTTTTGAATTTGAATTATTGTTCAGATTTGTATTTACAATACAGTCAAAAATAATACGGAGCAGTAAATGATTTACTGCTTCGTATTATTTTTTGCACTTTTAATAATTACCTAATTGTTTTCATCGTTTACAGTTTAATACGGAGTACTACGTAACTTTTTACATTTTTATGTTGGTTTGGGCAATAAGCCATGATTTTGGACTTTACGTGCATACCAGTGCACTTATTGGCCTGAGACTGGGAAAAGGCGTTCTAGTATACCGTAGGTCTATTTGTGAAAAGAATTTTTAACTAGTCTGTTTTTGAAATAAACTTCAAATGTTAACAAAAGTGATATTATTTCTAATTTCAGTCCAAACGCGAAAATTACCCAAGAAAGAATTGACATAAGTACTTTAGTCAAGCATCTGGGCATTCTCTCATTTCTATGAATAATAAAAAGACCCTTAACTCCCTTAAGGCCATATTCATTTACTCCAATTTATTTACTTTAACATTCATTCACAATTTCAAAATGTACTACTCACCCTATATGCACACCTTCTAAGCTCAAGTATTACACTCTTGGATTTGAGTTGATCAACTCAACATAGAGTTTTTGAGCAATAACTGATGGATCGCCAACAGTGGTGGACCTAGTGTTTATATTTTGGGTGTTAAAAATTACACATTTTCTCCTCAAAATACCAATAAATAAATTATTACTCTAATTCACACATATATATTCTCATTTTTTTAATATGTATGGGTGTTCACATGAACACCCTTGCATTGAAGAGATCCGCCCCTGATCGCCAACCCTGGGGGTAGCCGGAATCCGAGAAATCAAGGAGAAGATCAGGGAGAAAATGCTAAGTAAAACCGAGTACCAAATTCAGTAGAGTAACAATAAGAGAATTATATTTCGGGTCCCTTTTCACTAGTTTGAAGGTCATATTTATACTAATGGAGAAATGATTGGCCAACAAGTAAGAAGATGTCATTCTATTGTGGTGAGGACACGTGTCACACCTGCCTAATAGAATAATCAGACTAGCCTAATAATAAGGTGACACGTGTAAAGGTGATTAGAGAGATAATTGAGACAGCTCGCTGATTGGAATCACACATAACGAACTTGTACCAGAATATACGTGTTGGTTGCACGTGTACTATCCACGATTTCCTTTATCTAATCCGCTTGGAATGACATGGTGATTCGTTCAGTGTTGGTGACGTAGCCGTGGCTTGTGTAACACTTGATTGCGTAAATCGTCTAAGTCCATACTTGGCTTGTGAGAACCCGAGCTCCTGGAGGTCGGAGCTCGGGAAGATTGAGCTCCTATTGAAGGATTTATCTCTGGTCTTCAGTTTGTCCGGTAACAGTGATTCTTTTGTTGACTTCGGTTGACTTTGTACTACCAGCACAGGTCGGAGTTGGTAGCGACCTCGGCACGCCCAAGGTTGGCTACATATTTTTGCTTATCTGGGCGATCTTCGAGTTCGATGTTTGTGTCAACCTCGGGTGGTCAATGTCGGCCTCGGCTGGATTTTTGGCCTTTGTCGATTTGTTGCCTTGTGTCTTTTCCCGACCTCGAGTGTCGAGGTCGGCCTCGGTTGGAACTCCTGTACTTGAGTGTTTGAGATGTCTGGGAGCGTCTTGTCCGTAATTGTGGTACCCCTGGGGTATATGAGAATATACTCCATCATGAGCGCCCACTCTTCAAAGCGAAAGTGACACTTGAGGTGAGAGAGAGTAAATCTTAAATCTTCTGAGCTTGCGCCCGGCGGGGGCACTTCTTTTCATGGTCACAACAAAAGAGGTGGCTCATTAAAAACTCCGCTGAGGAAAAATCCCGGTGGCAAAAAATCCTAACGGAGGAAAAATAGTACACTCCTCTTAGAAGTGGCTTCCGGAGGAGAATGTGACGCCCCTTTCAAATGAATATGGCCTCGAGCTTGAATATTCTTGCTCTGCTGTTCTAAATTTCTGTTTTGCAAGTTAGTCACTACATCCGCGGCCTTGACCAAGGGTTGATAAAAGTTTTCAATAAATCTCTAAAATTTAAAGTAAAATTTTAACGAGCTATGTGTGTAGTTATACCTGTTGGGTGATGTTGATCTAACTATTGTCGTATTCTGAGCTGTGATGCTGATGACCTCCGGTTTTGTATCTTGTCCGAGTCCCCCACTTACTAGTCTTCCACTCTTGTATACTTAGAGAAATTCTAAGTGTTAAAGAGTATGAGCCTGAGAGGGATGATGTAGTTATCTTTATATTTGGTGGACGGTTTTTTTGTATCTGAAAAATGGTGTAGCGTGTTGTAGCGCTAATGTGTACAAACAGGAATTTATAAATATTCGTTTTGCAACACATGAAATTATTAGCCGTTTTTTGCCATTAATGCAAGACAAGGCTTTGAAAAGACTTTTCGACATGGCACGCCTTTTTGGGGAAAACTCTTCAGTTTTTTACGCGGTTAATTCCTGGCAAGCCACGTGTCAGCTTCCCGTTTAATTTTGAGAGGAGTATAAAAGGCGAAAACTTTGTCTCCTTCCTTTGCGCTTTCTTGCTTTCGAACTTTCAGAATTCTCAAGCAACCATATAGCTCTCTAGTTGTTTTCAGCCATAATTTTTCAGTCCTTCATCACTGTCGTTCAGTTCTTCTTTTAGGTTAGTCCTCGGACCTCCCTTCTCTGTGTTTCTCGTCATGATTTGTTCATCAGAAAACCCGACACAAGGTTTTTTCCGTTGAACTGGTATCTTGGGCGCTGGGGTAACCTTGGTGCCGCAATGGGGTTGCAATTGTTACACCTAGGCTTGAAATCACCCAATGATGATGATTCCGGTCTTCAATTTTTGTTTGGGGGTCGGGTTTGAGTCCCTTGTCCAAGATTTTAACTTTGTGCGCTCTGTGTTATTTTTCCGCAGATTGCAAGGATGGTTTCTCACTCAGGATATGCAAGTACCGGTGATAGGGCCAACCCTGACCTCCCCATCGGTTACAATGATGTCGAGGCTTTGAGTGAGGCTGGGATCAACGAGGAGGTTGATGACGCGGCCTCTGCGTTGTACATTGCTCTCATTCACTCTTTTCGTTTCTCGAAAAGCGATCGAAAGAAGAAAGGTGGAGATGAAATTGGCGCGTTGGCCGACAATGACCCTGTGAAGGCGCACTACTCTTTCTCTGATACTGATTGGGAAAAGGATAGGCGTCGGGTCGGGCCCACCATTGAAGGATGCAGGTAGTTTGCCCTCCTCTTGTCCTCCAGGCTTCTTCATGGTGCACCAGGATGCCCTAGAGCACAACTTCCAATTCCCGTTTCACACCTTCTTCGTGGAGTACCTTAATTAGGTCGGGCTGCTCCCCTGCCAGGTCACCCCTAACGGGTTTTATCTGATTGTCGGTTTCCTGCTGCGTTGCCAAGAGCTGGGGTTGGAGATACGTGTAGATCTCTTTCGACATTTGTTCAACATCAGGCTCAATCTGTTTAAGT